TCATGAGAATAATTCCTAAATATTTCATTTTTTGGGTTGTTAGTGTGAAGGGTGTGGTTTCTCTCATTTCTCTCTCTGTGATTTTGTTGTTACAGTATAGGAATGCTATTGATTTTGTATCCAGCTACATTACTGAATTTATTTATTATGTCTGAGTCAATGCAGTTTTAGGAGTGTTCTACGTAGAGTATCATGTTATCTGCAAATAATGATAATTTAACTTCTTCTTTTCCTATCTTTATGCCTTTTATTTCTCTCTCTTGCCTAATTGCTCTTGCTAGTATTTCCAGTACTTTATTAAATAGGAGTGGTGATACGGGACATCGTTGATTTTAAAGTGAAGGCCTTCAATATTTGGCCATTTAGTATGATACTAGCTGTTGGTTTGTCATATACGGCCTTTATTATATTGAGGTAAAGACCATCTATTCCAATTTTCTGTAAAGTTCTTATCATATGAACCTTATCAAAAGCTTTTTCTACATCTATAGAAATGATCATGTGATTCTTACTTTTCTCTCTATTGGTAAGGTGGATTACATTTATTGATTTACGTATGTTGAACCATCCCTGCATGCCTGGGATGAATCCCACTTGGTCATGGTGTATAATCTTCTTGATGATTTGCTGCATCCTATTTGCCAATATTTTATTGAGGATTTTTACATCTGTGTTCATTAGGGAGATTGGTCTATAGTTCTCTTTTTCAGTTGGGTCCTCCTCAGGTTTTGGTACTAGAGTAATATTTGTTTCTAGGAACGATTTAGGAAGGATTGCTTCCCTTTCAATTTCACTGAAGTGTTTGAGGAGTGTTGGCATTAGGTCTTCTTTGTATTTCTTATAGAATTCTGCAGTGAATCCATCTGGGACTGGGCTCTTCTTTGTAGGTAAGGACTTAATTACGTTTTCAATTTCATTAATAGAAATTGGGTTATTCAGCAGTTTTACATCTTCTTGACCTAGCTTGGGTACTTCATATGCTTCTAGGAATCTGTCTATTTCTTCTGTGTTATCAAACCTTTGAGAGTAGAGGTTTTCAAAATAGGTGTTGATGATCTTCTGTATTTCTTCAGGGTCTGTAGTGATTTTGCCTTTTTCATTCCTTATTGCATGAAGTTGAGCTTTTTCTTCCTTTTTTAAAATAAGGTTGGCTAGGGGCCTATCGATTTTATTTATTCTTTTCAAAGAACCAACTCTGTGATTCATTGATACTTTGGATTGTTTTCTTAGTCTCTATTGCTCTGATTTCTGCTCTGATTTTTATAATTTCTTCTCTTCAAAAGAATTGGCTATGGGTTTGACTTTCTCTTCTTTTTCTACATGTTTGAAGTGTAACATCAGGTTATTTATTTGTATTCATTCTGTTTTCCTGATGTGGGTACTCAGTGCAATAAAGTTTCCTCTGAGGACAGCTTTCATTGCATCTCACAGATTCTGATAAGTTGTATTTGTGTTTTCATTTGTTTGTAGGTATTGTTTAATTTCTTCTTTAATTTCCTCTGTGACCCACTGATTACTCAAGAGTATGTTTTTCAGTTTGCATGTATTTGTGGGATTTTTGCAGTATCTTTTATTATTAATTTCTAATCTCATAATGCTATGATCCGATAACATGCAAGGGATAATTTCAACTCTTTTGCATTTGTTTAAATATGCTCTGTGAGGTAATATATGGTCTATTTTAGAGAATGATCCATGTACCGCTGAGAAGAATGTGTATTCTGTTGTTGTTGGGTGGAATACTCTGTGTATGTCTATCAAATCCATTTGTTCACAGGTGTGATTCAGTTCTTTTATTTCTTTGCTGATTTTTTGTCTGGTTGATCTGTCCATTGGTGTCAATGGTATGTTAAGATCTCCTGTTATATTTGTATTACTGCTAATTTGGTTTTTCATTTCTGTTAATACTTGTTTTATATAATTGGGTGCTCTGGAATTTGGTGCATATATATTTAAGATAGTTATCTCTTCCTCTTGAAGTTTTCCCCAGTATGTAATGACCTTCTTTACCTCTTCTGATCATTATTGATTTGAAGTTCACATTGTCTGCAAGCAGATTTGCTACCCCTGCTTTTTTTTTGGGGGGGGGGTCCTATTGCATGAAGTATTGTTTTCCATCCTTTGACTTTCAGTCTGTGAGTATTTTTTGGGTTAGATGGGTTTCTTGTAGACAGCATATGGTTGGATTTTGTTTCTTGATCCATTCTGCCAGTCTGTTTCTTTTAATTGGTGCGTTGAGACCATTTACATTAATGGTTATAACTGTTATATATTGGGTTATTGTTGACATGTTAACTTTCTGCTGTTGCATCTTTATCTTTCTGTTCTGTTTAATTTTCTGCTTTATTTAGTGGTTTTTTTTCTAAGTGTATCTAAACTGTCTTTCAGTATTTGCAGGGTTGGCTTGGTGATCATGAAGTTCTTCAGCTGTTCTTTGTCATGGAAGTATCTTATTTCTCCATCAATTCTGAAGGACAGTTTTTCAGGGTACATCAGTGTAGGTTGGAAATCATTTTGCTTTAGGATCTGAAATACTTCACTCCATGCTCTTCTTGACTTTATTGTTTGTGCTGAGAAGTTTGCTGTGATTCTGATAGGTTTTCCTTTATAGGTGACCTGTCTTTTCTCTCTGACAGCTTTTACTATTCTATTCTTTTTGTTTGATTTCTGGGATGGTGATTATTATATGTCTGGATGTAGTTTTATTTTGGTTATGGCTATTTGGAGCCATATAGAAATATGTTTCATTGATCTTGATGTCAGTTTCCATTCTCTTGTTTGGGAAATTTTCAGCTATTACTTCTCTAAATATCCTCTTGACATCCTTTATGTTGTCCCCTTCTTTTTCATTTATCTCTATCAACCTTATGTTGTTTTTCTTTGCATCATCTTGCAGGTGTTGAATTGTTATTTTCTGATTTCTTGTTATTTTTAAAAGATTTTTCCTTTCCTGTTCACTGGCCGCAATCTTGTCTTCAAGGTCTGAAATTCTATCTTCACATTCATTGAGGTGGGTTTTACAACTTTCAATGGAATTTTTGATTTCCTGTATATCTCTTTGCATCTGCTTTATATATTGTTTGTTTCTTATATTGTTCATCCAGGGATTCTATCTTTTTTTTAGTTCCTGCAATTTTTTAACTGTTTCTTCTTTAGATATGTTCAGCATCTCCTTCATTTCTTTTCTCATTTCTAGAGATTATTTCTAGTTTGAATTCCTTTAAGGCTTTCCTGAGTGGCTTCTTTATTTCACTTACTATTATTTCAGGTATTTCAGGTATATGGCATGTATTTTCTTCTATGTACATGGCTCCTAGGCTTTCTTGGGATGGGCTGGATGTTTGAGATTGCATTTTGGTCTTTTATTTTGTCATTTTCCTATATTTCTGTGCTTCAAGTGGTGTTCCAAAGCTTCCCCTGGGTGTGTTGCAAATTGTCTCTTATGTCCTAGACTCTTGGGACTCCTTTTGTAATGTAGCTCCCTCCTTGGGCAGTGAAGCCCCTGGATTAAAAGAAGGTTGCCATGCTCCTTTCAGGTAGACCTAAAGGCTCCTCAAGCTACACTGCTCCCCCCTCTGGCAGCAAAGCTTCCCTGAGGGAAAGAAGGCCACCTGGTGTGGTCCAGGCAATCCCAAATCCTGCTAAACCCAACCTAGTGTGGCTGCAAGCCCAGCGGGCCCCCAACTCCCTAAAGCAAGGATCTCATACTCTCCTGGGGATTGGATGTTGTGTAACTATCCAGCTTCTTGGATGGCAAAGCTCCCCAGGCTGATAGAGGGTCCCCCTATGGCCTAGGTAGGCCTCAAACCTCCTCAGCAGGGCTGCTCCCTCCTCCAGGTGGTGGCAGTAGTGCTGGTGCTCTCCAGGCCAAAAGAAGGTCGCAGGCAAGGTCAGAGCAGTTTCCCGAAGCTTGGCCCAGCTCCCTCTTCCCAGCAGGCAACTGTGGTGTGGTCCGGTTTAATTGAATTTTTAAAGCACAGGTAATATCCTATTTTAAGAGGGTTGAAGGTCTAGCGAGATATCTGCATTGATTTAATATCTGTGAAAATTCAAAGCAAGATACTAATTGGAGGAAAAGAGGAGACAAACATTTAAAATTCATTTCTTTTTTTCTTTCTTTTTGTTGCCCTTTTTTTGTTTTGTTTTTTGTCTTTTTGAGACAGAGTCTCACTATGCAGTTCAGGCTGGCCTTGAACTCACTTTGTAGCCCAGGCTGGTCTTGAACTCACAGCGATCCTCCTGCCTCAGTTTCCCAAGTGCTGGGATTACAGGTGTGAGTCACCACACCTCGCTAAAAATTCATTTCTCTATAGTTGCAAGAGATCTAAATCACTGTAGTGAGAGAGGAACGTTTCCAGGAGATCTATCCCTGGGCCACACATATTCCACAGCATGTTTGTCTGTGCAAAATATGTGGAGATGGAGTTTACCAGGACTGCCACATAGGATAGGAAAAGGATCAGACTTCCAGTAACAATAATTTAAGAATTGATGGCTTTCAAACTCAAAAGTACATAAAAGTCACCTGAAGTGGGTGTTTAAAATGTAGATTCATGGATTTCTTCTCTGTCGTTTCCCTTCCAATTCTGTATATATGTGATAAGGCCAGGATTTTGTACTTTCAACAGATTTTAGCATCTGATTCCAATGTAGTTGTTTGAACTAGCCTTTCAGAAAAACTAGTAAATTCATCCAAAAGTAGAGAATACTTCCATAGTAAACTCTGTACTTCATGAACATCATTATAGCAGAGCTCATGAGCATTCATCTTTGGCTATCTCTACCTTGTCAACTTGGGGCTGACCCATTTCTCCTTTCTCAAGTCTATATATGCTAAAGTGAACATCAAATCACATCACATACTAAAAAACCAAAAAGTTTTTGTGGTGTACTGCTGTCACTTTCTGTTGCTGCCACTTCCTTCATCCTGAGAGAATGTTTCTTTTTAATTTTTATTTATTAGTACATGCGTATAGTACATAATATTTACATTCCTTGTGGGAAGTTGGTCCATATACATGACATATCTTACTTCCTTTTTACCTCTGCTTTCCCTTTCCTCCCTCCCTCTTCTCCCATCTCTCTCTCCCCTTCCTTTCTTTTTTTTGGGGGGGGGGACATGCATAATATTTCCTGGGAGGATGTGTTTCTAATCCAAGTATATCCATTTTTAATAAGTGCCTTCCATCTGATAACGTCATATTCTCTTGTCCCATGTTTTCTTTCTCAGCCAGTTAACCACTAAGCTTTACCAAGTCATATGGTCATAAATAATGGTGAAGAACAGAAACCCTAGATTCCAAGATACAACACCTTGCTCAGTACCGTCTTTCCTTTGCAGACCTCTGTTCTAGAGTCTTTTGTCTGATTGTTCTCTAGGTCTGCCCACTGCTTCTCATTACCTTGTAATAATCCCCAACTTTCTGGATATAGTAGTCTCCAATTTCTTGGTGTGAGTCAGTGCCCTTCAAATTGGGAATGGCATAAGTATCTCTTCCAACAGATATACAAGCATGGATAGTTTTAAGGGACTAATTTTCCAGATCATCATTTTCCATGTTTATGTTTGTTTCTCAAAACTGAACTGCTTATGAATGTAGCATAATGCTAGTTTGTACTTCCCAGATCTTTCACAAAGAACAATTCATTTGTAGTATAATAGTACCACAACATAGTCTTACTTCAGTGTGTAAATATCTTCAACATGCCCACAAAAAGGACAATTGTAAATATTTGTTTTAAAGGCTTTGTCCCATTCCCCATAATTATTAAAACAAATCCCTGAAAACAAAGCAAAGAGCTTTAGAAAGAAATGCCAAGGCTTTCATTGTAGAGACTTCTGTCTACTCCAAAGTATCAAAAAAATTACCAGTAATTATGTGGGGAAAAGGTGCATAAAATTAACATTTTTATTTTCCCAGACCTTTCTGAGTAACTGAGTTAGAGCACCTCTAGGAGAAAGTATACCATTGAAGGAAACTATCATTTTTCTAGCTGGTAATGAGCCCTTTTCCAGTAAAGTTTGTAGTTTTTGCTTTTACCCCTATTTAGGCAGAAGCTAGCTGTTAACTGATAAACAGTTAAAAATAATGCTTAATAATAAATCATTCATTTTTATGTTTAATTCATAAGGAACTAAGGCCAGAATAAAATCCCTTAAATTCATATCTACTTATTTATGTGAACAAATTTTCTTAATATATCTGAAAACCAAACAATAAGATGAAATGATAGTTAACCCTATTCATTTTAGAAGTAAGATTTACCGTCAGGAACGGTGATACATGTCTGTAATCCCAGCTCTGTGGTAGGCTGAGTTAGGAGAATCTTGAATTTGACCCCAATCTGGGCAATTTAGGGAGAACTTGTCTCAAAATAAAAACTGGCTGTATCTTGGGGAGAAAGGCCCTAAGTTAGTTTCTATTATAACTTGTATCTAGATGTGCCCCCCAAAAAGCCACATGAAGTCATAGCAGGGGTTTTGGGAGATGGCTGAGTCTAGAGTGTTTGATACTGGGGATTAGTGATGTGTGGTACTAGATTAGTCCATCAATTGTAAGTACCATAATTCTTGGTGTGGGTGAATGGACTCACTGAAGACAGAATCCGCATCCTGGGTATGTGGGATACCAACCAAAGGCTTATAGCCTGAATGGGATAAAAGGGAAAGGCAGGGTCACCACCTTGCTACCAGCTGTTTACTGACTTCTTCCTCCATAAACTGTCTTCTGCCATCTATCCTGCCTTGGAGCTAACTAGCTATGGACTGAAACCTCTACAAACTGACCAAAATAAATCTTTCCTCCTTTAACTTATGAATGTTGAATATTTTCAGTGAGAAAAGTGACTAAGACAAGTCCTCTGTACTGGAGAAGAACAATTGTTCATTCATAGATATTATGAATTAAGGGGAGAAACATTCACTTCATTAAAACATTTGCAATTTAGTTACATTTTATATTTAATAATAATTAAATGTTAACCACCATCCTAGGAAAGTATCCTCCAGTCTCATTTCTAGACTGTAAAACTTGCTTGTAGCATTCTGGAAGTGCAGTCAGAGGAAGCTGGTCTGAGATTCAAGGCAGTTGTTTGTTTCTGAGTAGATCTCACTGTGATACAAATGGCAAATACATGAAAAAATGTACAGCATCACAGATCATTTGAGAAATGCAAATTAAAACAATACTGACAGCACTCAGGAGGCTGAGGCAAGGAGATCACTGCAAGTTTGAGACCAACCTGGGCTACAAAGTGCAAGGCAGTCTGAATTGCATAGGGAGATGATGTCTCAAAAAGACAAAAATAAATAAAACAACACTGAGATTCTACCTCACTCCAGAAAGAATGGCTGTCATCAAGAAATCAAACAATAACAAATGCTGGTGGGGCTGCCAGGGAAAAGGAACTCTTCTCCACTGTTGGTGGGAGTGTGCACTGGTACAACCACTGTGGGAATCAGTGTGGAAATTCCTCAAAATCTAGGTTTGGAAGTCCCATTTGACCTAGCTATTCCCCTTCTGGGTATTTTCCCAGAAGAATTGAGAACATCATGCCATAGCAATATCTGTGCACCCATGTATATAGCAGCACAATCTGTAATAGCTAAATCTTGGAAACAACCCAAATGCCCATCAGCTGTGGGACGGGTAAAAAAGATGTATTTTTATACAATGCAATACTCAGCTATAGAGAAGGATAAACTCAAGGCTTTTAGAGGTAACTTGAGACCATACTTATAAGTGAAATACATCAGACTCACATGGATAAACTGTATTATCTCCTTATTATAAACTGAAACAATAAATAAGCTCCAAAATGTACAATAGCTTTTTTGAAAGGGGTAGAAACTGTTCAAAAGGAAAAGGAGAAGAAAAAAAAAAAAAAAACATATATATGGTCATACTAATCTCTGTTATCAAAAGAAGTTTGTGCTTTTATTGTTTGATCACTTTTTCTTATCTATATCTTATATTCTGAGCAACTATTTTAAATATAACATGCAAAATAGTAACCATTGTTAAACTCCTATTATGTTGATTTGTACTCTGTACCGTTGTTTTTAGTCTTTTTTTTTGTTGTTTTATTACAAAAAAAGAAAAAAGATCTCAATATGTTGCTGTCCTGGATCTGCTGGGCTCAAGCAATCCTCTTGCTTCATGCAGCCTCCAAACTAGCAGGGACTGCAGGCACCCACCATGGGCACTCAACGAGCTGGAGGATGTCAGCACTTACTGGATTTGCCTTCGGTCTTGTCCCCCACTCTCTGGTATCTATGAGTTTGAACTTTTTTTTCTAGAGTTTTCTCAGAGAGTAAACCTACCTTGTACTGGAATTCTTGCTGCTTTTCAGCTTCTTGCCCTTTTGTTCCGCATGCGAGTTCACCAAAGCCATCTTCCTCTGCCTGAATTTTGGCAACTTTGTTTTGTTGCTCAGTTTTGATAACTTGTTTGGAGGTTCTAGCAAGGGAAGCGCAGCTACTCCTTTAAGATCCTTCTCTATCCCGGGTGATCATCCTCTTCCTCAAGCACGCAGCTTCGGGAGGTTTTCTAGTCAGGATTTGCAAGATAAATAAGACAATACAGGACACATAATTTATAGTATTATTTTATAATAGTTACTCAAATAGTCAAATACAAAAGGAAGAGTACAGGAGATCTGTTGACACACTAAGGCCCAAAGAATCCAGCTGAGGGCCCATGGCAATGTCCTGCATGAGTCCAGCTAGGTGAAGACCTAAAGCCCATGACAATGACTCACACAAGTTTCTTTCATGAATCTGCCCTGGGAAGGCCCAAAAGTCAGCAGTGGAAGCTAGAAAGCCTGTGCCAATGGGATGAGAGATCTGTGGCAGTAAGTTGTGGATTCTGCACTACAGCCAGGAAGCGATGCTCAAAATAAAGGCCAACACTCCCCTAAAAAGTATCACAGCCATTCTCAGTGACAACGCGAGCCAGCTTGACTAGCTTCTCCAGGAGACTGAATAGCACATGATTTTCTCCTCCAGAGCCAGGAAGTGATGCTCAAAGTAAGGACCAGAGCTCCCCTAAAGTGAACTGTAGCCATTCTCAGTGATAACAAGGTCCTGAGCTCCTCTGATAATGAGAACAGCCACGTTTGTATCAGGAAAAAAGCTCAACAAACTGCTACAGGAAACCCACAGCAACAGGAGAACCAACACCAAACAACACATAATTTTTTCTCTCCAGTTCTCCGTTTTGTGTTGGCAACGATTCTCAGGTGGGCCTCAGCTCCGCACCGATTGAGTTCAATTGTTGTTACAAATTGACCACCAGTTATCAGTTCACCACAGGAGGGTGCACATGGGGCAGTGAGGGAGTAAGGGGACACCTGGCTGGTCAGTCAGCTCAGCCACATCAGCCCTGGCAATCAATGGGCGACAGATGTTGCAGCCGGATAGCCCTCACATCCTGCTGCTCACCATTTAATACTGTGACTAGTGTAGCATGCTTTTGGGTTCCCCTGTATACAACGTAGTCCTACTAGGTGCCTTTTTAAATGCCAGCCACTCTGTGCAAAAGGTCACCTGACTGGTCACTCTTATTTTCCTGCTTCTAATGTCTATCAAAACAATCCCCCTCGTAGAACTCTTCCTGCCTGATTCTCTCCACTCCGCTCATTTCAGTCACATTGCCCTGGGCAATTCACTGGATGGCACTACATTTCCACTTTCCTTTGTACACACCATTCCCTTGCTAAATGATCCTTCTAGCCAACTAGCATTCTATGTGATATGGCTCAAACCTCACCACCTCTGGGAAGCCCTTCCTGACCCTGTTAGTCATGGCCAGGACCCCTCCTCCCAGCCCCATCCATGACACTCTGGGCTCTTCCCATGTACTGTTCTAATGGGCCTCAAGAATTACCAGTGAGTGAATGTGTGATTAATTACAATGGAAAGGCATTAAATATAGAAACAGAACTACTTGTACTTAAGTTCTGTGTTTTCTCATATCCCCTGTGTATGAAGCATGTGCGTGGCCCATACTCATGGGATTACAGGAATAGAAAAAGAGTAGAAATAGAGTTATCCCTCTGTCTTGGTTACTTTTCTCTTGTTGCTGGGACAAGATACCCAACACGCAAAATGAAGGAAGGAAAAGTTTATTTAGCTCACAGTTTGTGGAGGTTTCAATCTATAATCAGCTGACTCCAAGGCAGGGTGGCATGCGGCAGAGGGCAACAGTTCATGGCAGCAGAAAACAGCACAAGCAACAAGAGCAAAAGAGGAGGAACACAAAGAGAAGACTTTCTGTACCTTACATTGTATGTAGACCACACACGTGGGTGTAGCACTCACACCCATAATCTCAGCACTGAGCCATGACTGCATGAGGTTACATCCACACTCAAATCATAACACCCACCTGGAAGAAAGTCCTAATATCTGATGAAAGGTTAATTCAATGTAAAATATTTTTCAGGTCTGAGCAACACAGAGTAAGACTTTGTCCAAAAGAGTGAATTGTAGTCTGAAATGGGTTAAATTAAGTTATAAACCAGGAATTGGAAGGAAAAATAGAGGTCATTTTGACACATCTTCAAGGTTAATTAACATCATCAACAACAACAAAACTGTCACACATTTCAGTATGCTGCAGATTAACCATCAAGGCCACGTTGTACTCTGGTTTTAGAACCAACTGAGAATTTGCAAAAGGTTCTTTTTATGGACTAAAATCTTACCTTTTAACTTTGTCACTTCACATTGTCTTGCCCCTCTTATTCATAATCAGTGTTTCAGTATCAATTATTTTTTCTTCTCCCCAAAATTTTATTCTAACACGCCCCAGATACTGTGTCCCCAAAGACATTTTTCCAACTGCTGTCTGGCCTCACTGCTGGTGGCTTAGGGAATCTGTTCCATTTTGGTTAGCATCTATACAGATCAATCCCTACCTGCTCCCCACCCTTTTTTTTTTTGTGGTGCTGGGAATTGAAACAAATGCATTGTGCACACAGGGCAAGAGCTCTATCACTGAGCCACACACATCCCCAGCCCAAATCCTTTAGTTTTAGAAACCTCCTAGTCTCCGTTTAATTTAAAACTTCCTTTTGTTAATAATTAAATGTTGGAATTTCATCTTGTTTTAAAAAGGTATCTAGCCTATTTTACTCATTAATTCTTCCTCTAGTTGTAGAATTTGAGTTAGTAATACTTAAGCCTATTTTACAAAGTTGTTTTTGTAGAATTAAATGGGCTAATGTCTGAAAAAATCTGTTGCAAGCAAGTACTCATTACATGTTGATTCCTTCCTGAATATTATTAGCCACAAAGTTGCTACATCGCAGTGACCAGAGGGAATCACCAGGATGGAGGACAAAGGAGTCCTGGAGTAAGTGGAAAGATAATAACTTCTTGGTCTATTTTTTAGAGGAGTTAGAATGGTAAATATATTTTAAGAAATTAAGAGAAACAACAGTAAACATCTCAGTTTGCTTTACGTGAAATGCTTTAGATGTTGAACAATTCTCCCAACAGTCTTAGCTCCATGGCAGTCACCTTCAGAGCTGTCTGGTCCCTGTCCTTATCTCCCAGCAGCTTTCTGGAACATTTGTATCAGAATGTACTTTTTTTCTCACAATTCTCCATGAGGAGTAAGCAGTCAACCCTGTTCCTTTCCAGCCTGTGACAGGACAGAGTGGAAAAGCCTCTGCTATATCCCATGGGCACTAATTCCCAAAATTTCTTTTTCTAGATAGATTTAAAACTCTTACCTTTTTGTAATAGCCTCCTCCTTCCAAGTAGAACAAACGATTGGTTAACATTTATCTCAAGTGAAGAAACAAACAGGCATTTGCAAATTTTCGTAAACAATCATGTTTAGTTAAAAAAAAAAAAAAGCTGTGTAAACTACAAATTTGCTGGTCTTTGTCCCTAGGATGTCAGTTAGGCAATTCTTACGGTAACCTTGAGTCATCTGCTGTCCAAGGGAGACACATAAGCTAGTGGGAACAAGAAGGTCCAGACTTTGCAGAAGAATACTCATTTCAGCTTTATACTCTGTCTCTGTCTCTGGGCCTGGGTTTCCAAAAGACATTACACTTGGAGGAGGAGGAAAATGCCTGAGCTAAAGGTAAGAAACCATCTCTGTAGAACTAGGGGTATATCTCATTGGTAAACGTGGATCTGCAGGGCTCTGCTTGGTTCACATCCCCACTACATGTACACAGGAGCTTGGAAAAGAAAACAAGAGAAAGAAACTATCTGGCAAGTGTGCTGTGTATCTGAGTTGGGGGGGTAGGGGATGAAAGGGTATGCAGTTCAAACCCCTGGGTTCAAAGGCTCTAACACAATGTCTGTGGGCAAGGCTGGGGTGATAAGGGAGAGATGAGAAAGAAGTATTGACCATTTCTTGACTTTGTTCATTTCAGATATTGGCTTAGAGGAGAACTGTAGATATTCTAAGGACTCTTCTCTACCAGAGACATGCACTTTTCTTACTCTGTCTGCTTGTCACTCCCTGTTTTCTGATGCTTTCCTGCAGCTTCAGCTTCCTGAACTGCTTCCAACCAGCCAACTAGGTTTGTGTAATCTATTCAGTTGCATTGAGGTTCAGAATCCAGCTTGGTGGTACAAGACCTAGCATCTCCTCTGGGAAATATTTTCATCTCTTTATTTAATGTGTAATTGAAAAATACTAATGGGTTAGGTGCTAGGTTTTTAAACTATGAGTTAACCCCAATTCTAATCCTCAGAATAAATCTAAAATATAGATGCTCTTGTTTTTGTCCAACCAGTAAGAAAAGCAAAGCTCAGAGGAACTAAATGACCTGCCCAAGATCTTAGTGGACAGGTAATTGAGCTGTATTAGAACTTGCTTTATCTTAATCCAAAACATAGCCCAAAAAGGGACCCTGAGTGGTTCCTACTAGACGAAGGAATGTGTGTCCCCAGTGCCTATAACCATGCCTGCTATTCAACAAGTGCAAATAGAACTGAATAGAGCTGCCCAAGCTTTGGCTTAAGCTAAGTGGACCAGAAACCCCGTTCTCTGACCTGCAGAATGCAGAATAATGCCCTACCTTTCCCAATGCAAAATTTGAGCATTGGCCTAATACCCTTCAACTAATGCTTCAAGCATCTCTCTAATTGGCATAGAAAAAACACTCAGCACTTGAGTAAATGTGGTTGTTTCTTAATGCCAACTGAGAGTTAACTTTCATTCTTTCATTCAGCAAATATGTGCTAGTTAGTATGTGGTGGCACAGATTAACATAGAAGACTGGAACTGAGTTTGGGATAGATAAAGAGAAACTTCCTGAACACAAGGCTGTTCTGAAGCTGAGTCCTGAAAGAAGAATGGGTATTAGCAAAACGAAGGACAGGACCAGGGATAGCATGTAGAAAGACACAGTGTATGTAGACAGCCCTATATGTTCTGCCATTCCAGTGTTTTCACTAAATTGGAGTTTCAGGAGGGACAGTCAAGTAGAGACACCCAGCAAGTAATGACCATGTGGATCTTAATCTCAGGGGATTTGTAAGGGGTTGGGGAACATATATGAGGTCATCGTGTTCGTAGTGGTAGTTGAAGTCTTGGGGGAAGAAAATACATAGAAACAATTTTTGTTTTGTCTTTTGGTATGGTACTGGGGGTTGAATCCAGGGCCTTTGCACTGAGTTAAATGCCCAGCTCCTCTTTTTTTTTTTTTTTAAACAGGATCTTGGTAAGTCACTGAGTTGCCTGGGCTGAGTTTGAAGTTACTATCTTTCTGCCTCAGTCTCTCAGAGAACTGGTATTACAAATGCTATGCTTGACTACAAACTGTTTTCTGATAAAAATCCTATGAGGAAGTTTCCAGCAGGGGTTGAAAACATCTTTACCATTTATAAATAAATTATATCTAAAATCCTGTCCTGCTTTAGTTGTAAGCAACTTAGTATGCAGAGCACCAGCACACCAATGTGAATTGCATGCTGGCCTTTGTTCTCTATTTCAAAAACATTACCAGCTTGCTGTCTAATCTCTAGGAAAGGTTAACCCCAGAAGTCAGGAGTCTAAGCCTAGAAAGCCAGATTGCATCATACTCATTCTAATAAATAAACATTACATAACTTTTTAGAATATTTGTAATCTATTTCTTCACGTTAATTGGTATGTCAACACTGAACTTTAAATGATGTCATATTTACGTAAAAACACGATTGAGGGAAAAAAGCTCAAAAAGGCAAAATAATAAATTTGAAATGGACTATGCTATGTTCTTGAGCAAGTTGCTTCACATTTGCAAGCCTTTGTTTCCTCATTTCTAAAACAGAAAGCTAGTTTTACATGTGAACCTGGGCCCCACCACTAGATCCTGAAGTTATTCTAACGGTTAGTTAGAGACAGGACTCACTGGCCTACACAGTTTGATTCCTGTTGCTGCCGTTTTTTTGTTTTGTCAAATGTTTTATTGAATGTAGGCATCTGGAGTACTACAAAACATGCACGATCTGTAATTCAAAAAGGAGCTAGTCACACTGTCCTCACTGTCAGAGGGGTCAGGCTTGGCATACATGATGGAGATAAATGCAGCATTCTGGGAGTGATATGATTCTTGAAAAGCCTCTACAATTTTAAGTGGGGTCTTAATCACATGAAAAATAAGCTTGCTCATATTTAGTAACTTACATTTCACTGTAAGTACATAGTATTTATAATTTAAAAACAAATAAAAAATAATTTCTTTGTAGAAGATTTCCATTGTCCAACTTTATTTGTCCCTTCAGTTTTCAGAAATTTTAACTTAAAAAACCATATGCCTTTTGGAAGTTGTATGTTTATCTGAGCAATAACTAAAAATTTTTTTATTATTTCTTTTTGGTTGCTGAGGTGTATTAAATTTGAAGAAGATAATATCTCCATCTTCAACAATATCATTTGCCTTGTTGTCTATATTTTCCAGCTGCCTTGACTGCATTTTCAGAACCTTCCTCTTTAAAATCTTTGTATTTCATTACTTCAGCCATAATAAACCCCTTTTCAAAATCTGTGTGACTCTTTCCTGCAGCTTGAGGAGCCTTCATCCCTTTCCTGGTGGTCCATGCACATGCCCCATCTGGGCTTGCAGTGAAAAAGTATTCTACTTGGAGTGCTGCAGACCTGGCCTTAATGGTCTTTGGCAAAGCACTTTGTGTCATATTTGCTTCTAGATACTTCTGTCTATCCTCAACACTCAATGCTTGCAATTTGAGTTCCAAGGCCCCACTAAAAGGAATGACCAAGGCACCTGTGTCATACCTGTCCACCCACTCTTTAATTTTTATCAACGACTTGTTTTCTTTCTAATGTAGTAACGTAATCAGAAAGATTAACCAACTAGACCTTTGGTTTTGAAGTAAAAAATAAATATTGATGCAATACTTCGATCTCTTTGTCATTCCAATCTTGATAGAAGTGAACAGGTTTCTTTTGATCTATAATCTAGGATTTGACTTTACACATTATGTCATATTCAAGGTTTAATTTTTATCTCCTCCTCTCACGGCCACTTTTTCTAGTTTATCTATAATGGGCCCAATCATTTCCTCATCTTTAAGCTGAAGCTCTTCATGAATCATTTCTATATCTCAAATGGGATCTACACTTCCTTCAACATGGGTGATATCATCATCTTCAAAAGCACGTGTTAGATGAAAGATCCCATCACAGGCACTAATCTGAGAAAAAAGCCATTTCCCAAGCCCTGTCCAATGTGAGCTCCTTTCACAAGGCCAGCAATATCTACAACATTTAGAAAGCCAGGAATTTTGCTTGCTGGTTTGTGATCCTAGCAAAGAAAGTCAAATCTTTGATCTGGCACAGGGACTTTGCCCTCATTAGGATCAGTCGTGCAACATGGAAAGTTTTCTGCTGAGGCCTGACTATTTGTTAATACATTAAAGAAGGCAAATTTCCCAACATTTGCAATCCAACAACACCAATTTTGAGTGACGTTCCAAATCTTCCAATGATTTGGGGTGGTTTAATTCCATCACCACCCTTTTTGGGGAGCATCGTGGTACAGAAGGAAACTGGATTGGTTTTGTTTTTTAAAAAGAGGTCAGAAGTCTGAATTAGTTTCATTGGGCTAAAATCAGTGTGTCAACATGGATGGTTCTTTCTGCAGACTCCGGCAAAGTCCATTTCCCTACTTCTTTAGCTTCTAGAGGATTTCTATATTCTTTGGATCCTTTGGCTTGTTGCCCTTCCCTGTCACCCACATCTCTGTTTTTCTCATCACATCTTTTCCTCATTTGCATTCATAGCTCCCTCTACCCATGTGATTAAGGATTCCAAGGTCTTTAATCACACTTGCAAAAGTTTCTTCTGCTATACAAAGTAAAAGCCCTAGGTTTCACAAATTGAGACATAAATATCTTCCAGGGCCTTTAGTCAACCTCTAGCCAGGGGGACAAACCTATGGCTTACATGCCACAGTGGGTTGGTTGTTATCACTGAAACCTCTAAAAGGTTTGCCATCACCAGCCTATAGTAACAAACTTCAAGTTTCCCTAACAATTTATGTTCTGTGTTCTTGTCAAGGTTAATAAAAGATACTGGATTCTAAGCAGGAAAAAGGTATATTCAGTAGTTCTATCTCTATCCCCATTTCTTTATTTCATCATGCCCAGTAAGAGAAAGTGAGGGACACCATCTGATAGACCCATCAGGTGCTGTCTAAGCTCCTTCTTCAGAGAAAGCATCTCTGTACTGACCAATAAATCATATCCTGGGGACCACGGGAGAATTAAAAGGCTGTGTACTAGTGAGCTGCCAAAGAACTGGTGGTAGCAAAGTCACATAGAGCTCAGTAATTCTTTTCATTCAGGAAATATGCATATAATGCTCTTAGAAATAAAATCATTTTTATGTTGGATCAAATTATTCTGGTCTGAACTGGAGAGAGTACACAAATTCTCTTGCTTAATGTCAGATGTTTATTTCATTTTTGTAGAAAATATATTTTTACATAATCACTGAACAAGCTGAAGTTGAATGCTTGAATTTTTACAGCTGATAAAAGGGTTTAGATGCCGTCTTTGAGCCCAAAGCCTTAAGAAAGCAGCTGCACAGTACAGCTTCCTCAATTCACGTGCTTTCCACAGCCAGGGACGTGAAGGCATTTTTAAGTTCGATAAACTCATCTGTAATTTTGTTGTCAGAATTAGGAAAACCAACTGAGTCAATAATGACTCAGCAGTTCCCCTCTGCTCTTTAACCAGTGCACTGCGGCTGAAATGGAGAAATGGATTCAGAACTTACACCTCTCTCAACACCAGCTGTCCTTTCTGTTTTCTATTTTTAAAAACAGCCTGTGTCGATGCTTCAGAATCGCATACACTGACTCTTTTTTCCTGTTCTGAATACACTTATAACCTCTGCTCTGAGTCCAGCAGTTGCAAAGGGAAATTGAATGAGTAAAATCACCCTGCCTGCCAGAAAGCTCAGCCATGCAGGGCACCTCTTCCTTCCTCCATGCAGAGCGAAACAATGAGGCAGGCAGAATGAAGACACTGTGTTATTCAGTGACTTGAGCCACAAGCTGATCTAATATTCTATTTCAGAGAATTGAAGATAATTTGAGGTCATAACCAATGCTCAGAAGCTCAAATTCAATCCTGTTGAAGGTGAACAGGAGGTTTATTTTGAGAGAGCAAAATTATATTGTATGAAGCATCAAAATATTACATGGGCTCTACTCTTTCCCCAGAGATATCATTCTAAGTTGCATGCTGCTGCTGTGAGCAAATCTGATTATAATACACGTCAATGGATTTTTATGTGATGATAAATTTTAAAATATGCAAATAATTATAGGGGCTGAACATATAGCTCAGTGGTGGAGCACATGTTTATCATGCATGAGGCCCCGGATTCAATCCCAGCACCCTCTAAAAAATTGTATCTGAATTTGATAGTTCTCCCAAATACAGATTCTGTGGCCTGATTATTGTTCACACATCCAAGCATGCTACATCTGGCTCATCTTTCCTCACACTGCCAAAAACTCTTGAGGTCCTACCCTCCACCCACATCCCTTCTTCTTATAATTCTTAAATAAATGTACTTAGATGGTAGCATTTCACTCACCCAGCAAGACAGCATTCTCCTTACCTATTGTGGACCAAATCAGCACTGAAGGTCTGGCAAAGAGTTCTAAGCCCCTCTTATTACAGCATATGTATATACACTGTAGTAGAAACTAGCTATTAATGAGAATCTAGGTTGATCAGCAAGTAACTAAGTACCTTCTATGGTCCATAGAGGTGAGCAAGACTGCCATAGCCTCAAACTTCATGAAACAAATGAAAGAGAAGAAAAGCTAGACAGTGACAGCCCTGTGACAAAATTCACACGTCTGATAAGCATTGAAAGAGTAAATTTCAGGTTGCAATTGGTGAGCAGTAACTGAAGCAAGATGCTGCTGAATTTGCTGGCTCTTTGTCAGAGTGCCCAGTGGGTCATAAGCACAATGTGTCACAGCCATTTTGAAAATAAAATTGCAGAGAAACAAAAGCTGTTTCAGGAGGAAAGTGGAATTCTAGTGCATCTCAAGGGTGGGGTAGTTGGTGCCCTCCTATACAGAACCATTATGGTTCTTACAGGTGATACAACAGCATGCACCATATGCCTCCAGACTATAGACTCATGTCTTCAAGAAGCGAAATTAACTTCAATCATCAATGCACTCTTCAATTAACTTCATTCATCCAAAATTAACTTCAGCAATCACTTTGGTTCACTCACCTCTCTATGAACCAATAATCTGATGAATGACTGAGCTTTTCTTTGGAGATCATACTTACTGATTTGTACTAACTGCTACCATAGAGCAATCTTTCATAGTTAAAAAAAAAATGTAAATTGCAGAATTCTCTAATTTACCTTGTTGAGAAATTTCTTAACTTTTTCCCTCTGGGTATAAAGTTAACAGATGGCAATCACAGTGGGCTCCCTTGCCATTGTAGAAAAGTTTCTGGGCTGGCACATCCTCCTGAAAGCTGCTCGTATCTTTCGATCTCATTTTCATGTATTCATACAGATACAAACCTATACACACTTGATCCATGAATGAGTCAGATAATGCAGGCTTCTGCCCACAGTGAAGCCTTAAAGAGAGCCCCCCTTTAGCAAGCATTTTGCTGTCAATTAGACCTTACACAACTTCCCAGTTTTCCTTTAATACAGGGAGAGAAAATAGATCTTTAAACTCAGGGAAGGTACAGTCTAGGCCCAGCAAGATCTTACCAATCTAGAGTTGAGATGATACCTGAGCCACCTGCTCTCTCAAGGACTCCCAAGGGAGCTAGATTTAAATAATTTGTTGTTGGGATGAATGAGATCATTAAAAACAAGCCTATATATCAGCCAAATGCACCGAAGAGTACAAAAGCTATACAGTGTCCAGCATGTTTCTTCTGATTGACTAGACATCTTTAAAATTCACACAAAGCATATTGTCTTTCCTAAATGGTTTACATGCCAAAACACAGCAAAGATATTATTATAGAAGATCATACACTAACAGATGACCAGATGGAAATTCTTAACTTTGTATCTTACATGTTGTAAAATTCTCTTTAAATCCCATTAATGGTGACATTTGTGTCTTTGTCATATGCAGTATATTTCTGGATTTGGAAATGAGTGTGCTTCGGAGGACCCACGCTGTCCAGGTGCCCTCCCAGAAGGACAGGTATGAGTGGAATCAAATGCATAGCATTGAACTGTCAGCCCAGATGATTACCCTGCAGGCTTAAAATGCCTCATTAAATAGGGCTCTTCTGTGTTTGTGAGTGAACTGTCTAGGAGTTTCACAAATGATTAGGACAATTGGGATAAAAATCAATGAAAGTTAAATTTGGATTGGTAGTTACCTATCATTCAACCCAAATTAGTAAAACTGTAGGACTGTCAAGAAGATTCTCAAAGTTTGAGGCTCAGAGACTTCCCCTTAAACAATATATGACAATGATAAGAAAATACACTACTTTAAAAATATGTATACAAAGATGTTTGCACTAGTGTTACTATAGTGAAATTTTGATTTAAAAAATTTCAAGTTTTTAAGATATGTCATGAAAAAAATCCTTATGATGGTATTTTCTTTAAAAAAAGAAAGTACTGATCGTTACAGGATTACATATACCACAGGATCCTGTAGTATTCACTTTCTTATCACTTGACTTCAAGGCAAAACCAGCATGGCAGAGAGGCATGGCAAAGGGGTGCTGCTCTTCTCCATGGCAGCCAGGAAGCAGAGGGAAAAGGGAGGAGCCAGAGACAGCAGCCTGCCAGGTCATGCCCAGTGCCTCAGTCACCCTGATTAGGTCCTATCTCCAAACACGAGACTTTCGGGACATTTAGAGCTAAATCATAGCATTGTGCTGCTGGCCCTCAGAAAACATATCCAACTAATTGTGTAAAGTACAATTAGTCTACTGCACTGTTCCTCTGGTGTGAGAAACTGGAAGTGTAAATAAGGACCAAAATGGATAATAGAGATTATGAAGTAGGAAAAAAAATGTTCAAATGGGACGGGGAACTAGGAATGGTGTAGGGGAAAAGGAAGGGAAAAGAAGGAAAAAATGGAAACTAAGCTTTTGTAAACAGGGAGGGGAAGAGGGGTTCAAGGGAGGGTGGGGGAATGGGGAAAAAATAAAAGAATAAAGCTACATCACATACAGGTACAAATTCCCTATGATGAATGTAATTAGTATGTGTATCTAAAGTATATCAATAAACTTAAATTAATTAAAGTATTAAAAAATGCATTTACTTCATCTATTAGAGTCACCAAAATCTTAACAGGCCCAGCATTGCTGACAAGTCCAAGTTCAAAGTCTCCTCTAAGACTGAAGGCAAATTCTTAGCTGTGAGAAAAGTTTTATTTTATTTTATGAAATAAAATAAAGTACTTGCAACATATAATGGCACATCCTCATTCTAAAAGGAGAGCAAAGTGGGGAAATAAAAAAGAAATAGACAAAAGCAAGGCTGAAATGCAACAGCGCAAACATTAAATCCCGAAGTGTCACGCTCAGCGCCTGGGGTAGGCTGTCGTGGGATGTGTGCTCCGAAGGGCCTGAACAGCCCACTGTGTGGCCTTGCTCATTCTAGCCCATGGTTCTTTTTTCTTGGGCTGGCTCTGCTCATTGCCTTCAGCTTTCCTCACTAGACATTCTATGTTCCTAGCATCTCTAATTTCCTGGAGTCTCCACTGAATTTTTGGCTTCCTCCCCAAAGCTTCATGTGCTGCCCTCTCCGGGACTCCTTGCCCAGAATCTGGGTGGAATCCTTCATGATGCCATAACTGTTGCACTTTGCATCTCTGAAAAACTTGTCTCATGTGCATGACACCAAGCTCCACTGCCAGCTTGAGCTAGACCCTCTTAAATAATGCCTGCAGTGGTCTCTGAGAGCCTGGGTGGCTGATTATGGTAAAATAAATCTCAGATAACCAATTCCCTTGAGCAGAGGGCCCAGGTCTCTTCTAAAATGAAAGCTTTACATTGTTTCAACTTTGAGCCTATAGTGAGTGAGTTCTTGCTGATTTCAGAGCGACTTCCAAGTCATGTTTCCTATTGCCTGATGCAAAACACTTGGCTTCCTCTGAATACTAACTTTTTAACAGTTATATTGTTCTGGCTCTCCCCAGACCAAATAAGTACTTTTTTTCTGGCCAGACTACAAATTTTTCAAATCATTTACCTTGCTGTTTTCTTCTGGTTCTCATTGCAGATCTGGCTAAAAGCACCTGCTTGTAGTACTCATGGCACATCTTGATCATTTGACTGCCTTAAAATTTCCTTCACCAGGGGCTGGGGATTTAGCTCAGCAGCATAAGCACCTGCCTTGAAAGCAGGCAGTCATGAGTTTGATCCCCGGTACCAATAAAAAAGGAAAAAGACAAAAAAAAATTTCCTTCACCAATTTTTCTATCACCCTTAATCTCAGTCTCTCACAAAGTGTCAGGATATGGGCAAAAGGTGGACAAACTTTTTCCAGAGTATAATACACATGACTTTGGTTAAATTTCCAATGGAGTCCTCCTTCCAACCTGAAGCCTCCTAAGCCTGGCCTTTACTGTCCATATTCTTATCAACATTTGTGGCTTCTGAAGTTATGACCATAATCACCCATCAAACTCTGCTTAAAATGTTCACTAGTGGGCATCTCCAAATCTTTCTAACCTTCTTCTGCAAACCAATTCCAAAGGCTTCTGAACAACAGTTAGGTACAAGCCACAATAAGAACCCTACTTCTCTAATGTTAATATCTATATTAGTCACTTTATTATCACCATGACAAAATACCCAGAACCTGCAATTTAAAGAAGAGATTTACATTACCTCAGAGTTTTCAGAAGATTCAGCCCATGGTTGGCTGACTCCAAGGAGCAGCATGGTGGAAGGGCATGGTACAATAAGCTGCTTACCCCATGGCAGACCAGGCAAGATAAGGGAGGAGCTGAAGAAAAGCATACACCTTTCCAGGTCACACCCCTGTGACCCGCGTTCTCTGACTAAACTCTTCCTCAGAATACGAGACTTTTGGGAGATATCTTAGATCTAACTCATGTAAGATATCCATTTTAGAGGATAAAAATGGAAGAAAATATCCTAACATATTAACATTGAATGATTTCTGGTTGTGAATGAACTAATGAGTGATGAAATAATGAGTGATGTATATTGTGTAAATTTTCTCTGATAAATATGTTACTTTCACATCTGGGGGAAAGCCACATGAAATGCTATGTGTGAGTTGGGGGTGGTTACATGCAATGGCACAGAGCATGCCCATTTGGGGCAAGATTCCTGACTGAGTTAGTTGGTGGGCATGTGGGGTGTTTTTTTGACATGATGTTTTTTGCTTCCTCTTTTGTTTTAGAATAATCCTCAGGTATGCCCCTACAACCTGTATGCTGAGCAGCTTTCAGGATCAGCTTTCACTTGTCCCCGGGGCACCAATAAGAGAAGGTATGAGGATGAATACTTTTGATTTGTAGACTAAGAGAACTGTGACCAGGACCTCATGTTTCCTCCTGTGCTTGGACTGCAGCATCCCAGAGCTGCCCAAGATCCTTCTTCTCATAGGCCATTCTGGGCTACGTGAGAGCCCAGGCCTTCTGCTAGCTGGAGGCAAGTGACGGACAGGAGAAAGTGAACGAACACAGAGCCTAGGAAACTCACAACCCCAATTCCACTTACAAATTCTAATCAGGGGCTGGGGATTTAGCTCAGAGGCATAAGCTCCTGCCTTGCAAGTGTGTGGTAGTGAGTTCAATCCCTGGTACCGATTAAAAAAAAAATTCTAATCAGTATTCAGAAGCAAACATTTCTAACACACTGGTCTTCCTTTAAGGATTGTCTAGTTAACCTCTGGATTCTGATTTACTTGTTTTTGAGGCTTTTTTAAAGTATGTAGTGATTCATCATAATTATAGAAAAGTCATAAAAATGGCTTTCTCAGCTGAGTAGGAACATTATGTTCTTTACATGAAAATGTTGGATAATCCAATCTTGGATAGTTGAAAGGTCATGCACTATGGCCCTTTGTGGTTTGAATTAATAAGGTTTTTACCCTTTGGAATTTGCCTTAGCTAGAAACCAGCACATTTGTTAGAACAGTACATCGTGTTCATGCTTGCTCCAATCTCACAAGCCATGTCAGTGAACTTGTTCCTTCGATTAACTTTTCAGGAACAGGTTGGATGCAGCAGGCATTGTAGATCCAGGAATCAGTAAGTTTTGTGATGTAAAAAAGTAGTATCTAATTGCAGGAATTTCAGACCATGAAGGCATCTGTGAACAGAAATGCTGCTGACATTAGAGATTTGCATTAAGAGGACAGCTGGTCTTACACTGCTTAGAAAGAGGGGATAGGTTTATCTCTGCAGTATCCTCCTAAGAAACAAAAGTGACAGGAAATACAAAAACACAACAAAGGACTACACAAATGATAGACTTTTTCTCTTACTAGTCAATTATGCCCACCCTGAAGTCAGATTTCCTGAGTTTAAATGTGGGCTTCTTCTCAGTCATGTGACCTTGGACAAATCATTAACCTCTCAGAAGTTCTAGTTATTCTTTTGTAAAATAGAGACTATTATACCACACATTTCATAGCTGTGAGGATTAAAGAAAATAATGTAAAAGGCTTTGCAGATTGCCTGGCAATAATGTTCAATTAATAATGAACATTATTAAAATCATCACTGCCACCAGAGCAGAGTTTCTGCTTCATTCAGGATCTCTCAAGGTGGTAGCCAGAGAGCTGAGCAGGAATTATAGCAGGGGCTGTGTTACACTGTCAGTGTCAATGTTGTTTTTCTCTTGATAGATATGTGCTTGGAGGAACGGGGAAAGAGGTGGTTTCCCATACATATGAAAAATCAGGAGTTACTTCCACTGTTACTTAATCAGCCAAACCTCACCACCACTGAAAGCACATACATAGACAATTCCTATCTATCCTAATTTATGACAACCAGGCTTTTGTGACTATGATTTTGATTTTGTGGCCCAGCCACTTCTAGGCCACCTGGTCTCTGGATTCAAATGCCTGTCACCATTACTCAGCAATATCTTCAGCCAGCAGGAGCTGACCTCTGTTCCAAGAGGCTGAAAAGGAGCTGTTGGCATTTCATTAAGGTGCTGGCAAAGTTCCTGAATCAGAATTAAATCTTTGTCCAGAGCAATGTAATACTGCCTAGGAGTTTTATAAACTCAGCTAAAAAAAAGGGACACTAAGCATGACTCATCTATCTGTTTAGAACCCTCAGATAGTATCCACACGAATTTTGTGAAAATGTTCAAAATACCTATAGGAGAATGAGTCCAAGCCCCATCTACAGAAGTAGGCCAACCTGAAATTCTAAATCACTACTCACTTAATTACAGAGTGTGGGAAGCCATAAAACTCTCAGAGATTCTATCTAGCTCAGGGGTAAGTTGTATTTAATTAGTCAGCTGACCTCTTAGATTCCAATAAGGTGAGAGAAGGGACAGAGAATGTGGAATTTGGACTGTAGCTAAATCCCAAATGATTGAGGGCAGTCAGATAGTTGAACAAACATCTAGCAAATAAGTATGTACTATGTGCCAGATACTTTATGAAGATTGATTCAGTTTTCACTACAATTCTGGAAGACAAGAGATGAAGAACATAGGATCCAGGAACTTTAATAACTTTATCAGAACCATATCTAAGACATGCACACATGTTTTCAACCCCATGTACTGCTAGGTGATGGAGGAACTTAGCAAGTCTATCATCTGAGGTTGCATCATCAAGAACTGGAGGAATAGGATGGAAACAGAACAAAGCTAGTCCAGCTATCTCTCAGACAGTCCAGAGATGGGCCTGGTGCACTCCACCCCATGGGGAAGATTGTCCTTGGATTTAAATGGTGAAAGCCTGTTAAAATAGACCTGGTCTTCACTGTCAACAAACCAGCTTCCTTCCTTCTGTACCCTGTCAGGGTATTGAAAAGACTTGGTCTCTCTTAGTGACTTTCAGAGTCCCTCTCTACTTTGGAAGGTTCCATCCTTTAGGGTTACTTCATCTGATTCTCTATGCCTTCCCAATGCTTGAGATCTGGTCCTGGCAGAGAGATGCTTTGTTCACACAGTAAGATTCGAAAAGAAAGAAAGTAAAAAACAAGTTGTGAATATACCATAATGGGTACCATATGGATAAATATTCATACACTTTCAGGCTATAGAGGTGTTAATTACAAAAACCTTTGCAAATTAATGGCAAAAACAAACTACCCAACTAAAAAAAGTATAGGAATTGCTCAGGTAAGTCGTACAAAAATTATTTGCTAATAAAAAAAGAATCAATTCACCTTACTCATAATAAAGAGAATACAAAATAAAATAAGATACTATGTCTCACCTATAAGACTAAAATTATTGATAATATGCCAGATCTGGCATGAAAATAAAATTGTACGATTTTATACATAAATTTTATATACATTGCAGATTTTGGGATAGTACATATGAAAATGTTAAGTTCTGATGCTTTTAAGAAATAGCCTCACACAAAACTTTTAAAGTTATTTCAATTATATTTACCACTGGTGTGTATCACATTTTTGGTTTTTAAAGGAAAATTTCCATGAAGACCATGAGAATTTGTATTTCAAAATTAAGGATAAGTCTGGGCATGGTGGTGCCTGGCTGTAGTCATAACACTTGGAGACTGAGGCAGGAGAATTCCCATAAGTTTGAGGCCAGCCTGGGTTACATAGGAGCTCAAGGGCAGCCTGAAATGCACAGTGAGACTCTGTCTCAAAAAATAAACAAAACCAAAATAAATAATGAAGATTAAAAAAAAAAAAAGAAATACCAAAGATATCCAAGTGTGATGGCACACGTCCATGGCCTCAGCTACTCAGAGGCTGAGGCAGGAGAATTTGGGCAACTTAGCAGGACTTTGTCTCAAAATAAGAAACAAAATTTCAATGGACTAGGAAGTATAACTCAGTGAAATCTCTGCTTTCAATTTCTAGGACTGCCAAAAATAATAAAAACATCCATATTCTCAAAATCTATATAGTATTCATTATGTTGATCTTTGAGAGCAAAGATTAATATCCTTTGATGTAAATATGCTAAAGGTTTTCTCTATGGAGTTCCCTCAAGATACCTTCTCTTCCATTATAAATATTGAGAATGAATCCCTCCTTTTGAACTGTATGGGAATAACCAGACGCCAAAACCTAATCTGAAGAGGGAACGATGTAGTGGAAAGGGGAGAAAGAACCAGAGCTGTGGGTGGCAAGTGACTGTAAGAAGCAGTGATGTGTCGTCTGTCACAGTAAAGCCTACAGGCTGCTACTGAACTGAGTGTCTTCCTGAGAGCATCTTGAGAATCAGTACATGTGTCCCCTAGCATTACCCTAAGGCTTGTGTGTTCTTGTTTTCCCCTAGCTGGCTGTACAGGATTCTACCTTCGGTTTCTCACAAGCCCTTTGAGTCCATTGACCAAGGCAATGTCACTCACAACTGGGATGAAGTTGATCCTGATCCTAACCAGGTAATCCCAAATGATTAAGGGCAGCCAGATAGTTGAACAAACATCTAGCAAATAAGTACGTACTATGTGCCAGACACTTTATGAAGACTGATTCAGTTTTCACTACAATTCTAGAAGACAGAGATGAAGATGAAGATGGTCATTTGGTCCTGGGAATTGGAAAAATCATATATCCAAACCTAGCACAGAAATATTTGTATCAGGACCAGGGTCTCTGAAAAATTAGACAACTTTTAAAAATAAATGCTAGCATGTCTAGTTTGGGGCTTAAACTTGAGTGGATTGTTTTGGAATTAATTGATGGCTGTGTATGTGTCTGTGTGTACACATGCATGTGTGTATGTGAGCTTGTGTCTTTCTAGCCTGGTGATGCTGAATCTTTTAGAGATGAGTACCCAAACTGCAACCCAAAATCTACTTATTTATCACAAAGTGCCAACACTGCAATAAACCCGGGTACTGAGGTTTTGGTTTAGAGGAAAACAACTCTTACATTTGCATCTTTTGTCTTAAAAGAAACACACAATGACACATGTACCATAGGTACACCACCAAAGTAATCCAGCCTAAAAGGCTGGATCAGACTTGGTAGCAATGCCCTGGTGAATTTGAAGAATGGAAATTATGTAGGTTTTTCAAAATACCTACATAGGTGTTTGTTTTGTTTTAAACATACCCAGACTACGGAAAACACCTTCCACACTTACATCCATGAAGGGAGGCCTCTGTTGTCTGAGCAGGGTTCTGTAAGTCTCATGGTGACAGTGGTGACAGATTGCTTTCACATTCTCTTCAGACCTAGGAACTTCCAATGTTTGTCAGAATTCTCCTCTTTTTTGCTCTAGTGATGGGTGGGCTTTTCTGGTTATCAGTATTATTTATACACTCTGCTTCCAACAATGAGACAGGACTAACATTATAATGAACTAAGGTCTTTTTTAAATTTCTTAACCTTCTAAGAACCATAGTACATTGCCTGTCTCTGAGTTTAGCACATGTCACTGAGCACAGGCTCTTAGTTACTTTTCTCTCATTGCTGAAACAAAATATGTGGTGGGCATAGTTGAAGGGGGAAACTGACCTGGGTTTGCATCTCCGGTTCCTCTCCTTCCCAGCTGCGTCCTTAAGCCATGGCTTTTCACTTATAAAATGTGATAACACCATCTGCATTGTAATGCTTTTGTGAAGATACATAAGAAAAGAGGTGTGAACATGTTTTGTAACTGTGCCTGGCATGTTGTAGGCAAGGACTGTGACTGATACAGTCATCCTGAAATATTCACTTAAAGGCAGTGGTTGTACCTATCAATCTTGGAATTTATATTCAGATATATTTGTTTTTTCTAATTGGGGGGGTTCTGTGTGTGTTGTTTGTTTGTTTGTTTGTTTGTTTTAAACAAGGTCTTGCTATGCAGTTCAGGCAGACCCTGAACTCACAGCAATCCTCCTGCCTCAGCCTCCCAAACCCTGGGATTAGAGGCACCATGTTCAGCTCTTGTATACTTGCATATCTACTTCCCCTAACACTTAAAATTTTTTTAAGACAAGAGCCAGAATAATTCCTAGTCACCTTTGGTTTCCTACCCTGATTCATCTCTTTCTTTAATTATAGAAATATCAAAGAACTAAATAAAGATAGAACATTGACCGCCCCTGTCCAAGAGATACAGAAAATTTTCAGGGTAGAAAGTAACATGAGTTAGCATCTTAAGTACTAGCCACCTTACATCCGTTTTGAAATTCGGATATTTTGTCCAAATGTCTAATCCTAAACTTTTGTGAGGTTTAATGTATGCAGGGATGGCCTCCCCATGGTTCAGAACCTGTACAGTTTATCTTGTCGGCAGGCTGACGGGATGGTGGGGGGATCATTCCCCAACTGTCAGCCCTGAATTGCTGTCAAGCTAGGGTTTCTACAGGGTTTGTAAGCAGGAAGTAAAGAAGCAGCCAGCATACGAGTTTAGGACAAAAGCCTGTCACCAATTACTAAGCAGGCTGCTATTGAGACAGGTCAGTGGGGACAGGATGTGTTTTTAAATCTGGGAAGTACACAGTGAAACTGGGTTCAGCCTTGGATTTTATAGTTTTGTACAGAATGAGTATATCTTGTGACCTTGTTGCATTAGTCACGCTGGGGTAGGGGTGGGGGTAGTGTTAAATTTCTGTTGTATCCAGCCCTCCACTCCTACATGGGTGATGTAGACATGAAAGCATGAACTAACGATGATAGAGACATTCATCCAGAAGAAAAGAATACAAATGTATTAATGAGTAAATTACAAGTGAGTAATAACTACAAACCAAGGAGGTTCAAATGCTTTTTTCTTCAGGAAGAGGACAATGAGGGAGATAGTGGCAGATCACTAGAAAGGTAGGTGCAGAACTTCACTGTGAACAAAGATTGTCTTGTTAGGCAGGTAACTGCGCAGAGCTGCCTTAAGAAGTGATGCAAACCAGTCAGGAGGTGATGACTTAGTTTTCTCTCTTCTCATGTAGTTGATCTTTAATGAGATTCCTAGGCAGGAAGTTTAAGATGATGGCATTTTTGGGGAAGAGTTTTAACCTGATAAGAGAACTTCAGAGAGTCCCTCCCTGTATGGAAGAGAAACTAGGGAAATTTAAAGAGATTGGGATTCTGAGATTGTTTTTCACCTGGTATGTCAAACCTCCATGCTTTGGGATTGTGCTTCTGAGCCCCTAAAGTTATATCTCAAATTCTAGTTTTTCTCGCACTTATTTTTATTTTAAAAGGGGATTATGTTTTAAACCTAACCTTTAGGGAAAAGTATGATGCTTAATAACACAAATCCATCTTCAACTAGAAAATACAAAGGGCTGAGGCTGTAGCTCAGTGGCACAATGCCTGCCTGGTAAGCATGAGGTCGTGAGTTTGATTTCCAGTAACCACCCTCTCCCCAGAAAAGACAAAATACAGGATGAATACAGGCACTTCCATATCATTCCTGATCAGGTTAAATGACAATTAAATGCTTTTTATATACTAGTTTTGGAAGGTTGAGAGGTATTAAAACCTCTCTAGTTCTTTTCTTCAGGTGGCAGAGAATCCTCAACTGTGTTTCTGATAATTCTTTCAAGTAGTGACACATCTCACATTTTACAAAAGAATGAGTTGATTGTAAAATCAGAAAAAAGATGAAAATTAAGCACAAATGAAACTATCTCCGAAGATCCCTTTAATCACCTATAAAGTGTAGGATATGTAGTTTTGTATGTGCTACCCAAGATGCTAATCTTTCTGCACACTAAATCTAAGAACCACTGACCTAGATTAAATGGAAGATTATGAGGGAAAGCCGCTACACAAATTTCAGGAAATTAAATCATGTGGTCTTTAAGATTAAAAAATCCATACTGAGGGGCTGGGGATTTAGCTCAGTGGCATAAGCGTCTGCCTTGCAAGTGTGATCGTGAGTTCGATCCCCTGTACCAATTTTAAAAAAAAATTCATACTGGAAAATAAGATGGGAAGGGATTTTCAGCACCTTTGCCTGCTCACATTGTCCCTAGCGATGTCTCAGTCTCCAATCCTTAATTAATACACCTCCATAGATTTGTTTGTGGTGATCAGGGCAACTGTGGAGCCATATTTCTTTGACACAGTCTTATTTGGGATGGTGGATTATGTTTGAGGGAAAACTGTGTTGTTATTTCACTGTATGATGTGTAATATACTCAGGAATATAATGTTACTACATGGTTTTTGTTATTTATGTTATTTTCAAGACTACTGTTGCTGCCTGTTCTTTAATATGAACACATCCCTTCTGAACAGTTATTCTGAAGTACATGTGGCACAGCCACTTGTAAATACAAAACTCTTGAGACTAAGGGATTTCTGAAATAAAAGGCATACCGAGCCATTACAAATACTAATCAGGAAAAAAAAAAAGAGTAGATCCTGGGGCCCATTCCCAAAACTGCCGCAGCAGGGCTGTGTGACAGTTGAAAATCTGGCAGATCAGAGCTAAAAGCATGTAAAAATAAACGGGGGTAGCAAAGTACTCTACCCAACACTGGTTATAGGTTAGAGGGTTGGGATAACCTTGAGCAGGAAAGCTTTGGAATAGGAGGGCAGTCCAAAGGAGTAATTGTTGCTGGTGGATCAGTTGGGTTGTTAGTCCTAAAAGTTTATATGCAAACAGTGCGATGGTCCTGGTGTTCACTGTGACGGAATTTCTAGTTTTAGCATTTTGAGTTATCTTCATACCATTTTCCATGGTGGTTGTACTGGTTTATACTCACAGTCTCTCCAGCATTGTTATTCATTGATTTCTTGATAATAACCATTTTTTCTGGAGTGAAATGGAATCTCAGTGTTGTTTTAGCTTGTATTTCCTGAATGGCTAGTGATGTTGAACATTTTTCATGTGTTGACCAGCCTTTTGTATTTCTTCTTCTGAGAATGGTCTATTCATTTCAGTTACCCATTTTTTTAATTAGGGCTTTTAATTTTTTTGAGTTCTTTATATATTCTGTATATTAGTTCTTTACCTGAATTATAGATGAAGAAATTTTTTCCCCATCCGTAAGTTGTATCTTTAGTCTGTTGATTATTTGTAATGCTGTACAGAAGCTTTTCAGTTTGTTAAGATCTCATTTGTTGATTCTTGACATTATTTCTCATGCCATTTGGGGTTCTGTTCAGAGTCTTTGCCTACACCTATATCTTCAAAAGTTTGATCTACTAGCATATGAAGTTTTAGTGTTTTACATTCAGATTTTAGACTCTAACAATTCTTGGTTTTCTCCAAGTATTCCTAAGGCCTGTGGTTTTTTGAGGTACCTCCCTATTCCAGAGGCCCCTCTGTTTACCCAGGTGGTGGCAATGTCCAAGCTGAAAGGTGTCTTCCACTCAGGTCAATAGATGAGGAAGATAGTCAACCCCAGATCCGTGCTGGATGCAGACTGACAGGTGAGCCCTCAAGTGCTCAATGCTGACGCTGTCAAACCCAGAGCAACCCAGGCCAGGCCTGAACTTT